GGCCATGCAAGCCGCCTGCCTCAGAGCTGCGCTGACACGACGAAGAGTATTTCCGAGAGTCGTACGTATTCAGAAACCATCCTTGAATTTCCCTTGACTTGCCACAGCCTACAATGCAGCACAAATGCGTCTCGAACGTGAAGTCTTAAGTCGTTGCCAAGGCATGAAGTACAAACGCGTTCCAAACACGCTGCGTTGAATGCGCTGACAAGTCAAGTTCAAGAAAAAAAAAAGTTTCCGAATACGGGGAAAAGACAGTGCACAATTTATTTTCTCTTTACTTTGACGGTGTTTAGCTTCTTGCGAATGCCACCACGTAAATTCGATACTTTGCTCGAGTTGCTGCGGCCCGCCATCTCCAAGCCAAGTATTCCGTGGTGGCCATGGTGCCACAGACCCAGAGGAACGCACTCGTTTGTATCTGGCGGCAGGAAGCCAGCGCAATGAAAAAAAAATTGAGCATCGCTGATTGGTTAAGCAGCTTTGCGACTGCAGTCGCGCGACTGAAAAATCGGTCAAGAAGCGACTGGCCAACGCAGTCGCTTTGCGACCGTTTGCGACCGTTCGCGACTGGTTGCGACCAGTCGCAAATGGTCGCGCGACCGCTGCTAGTCGCCGGTGTGCACCAGCCTTAAGTGGCCGCAGTGAAAGAATAATACATTTTGGCAATATTAAACGTTCTTTCGTTGTAGTACTCACTCACAGCGCGTGTTTGTTTACATATATTTAGGCCCGCCAGAGTTCACTTACTCTCAACACCGATGCCCTACACACATGGCCGGCCCAACTCGCGAGTCGGGCCGGCCGGCGCCAGCCGATCACCGTCATTACCGGCGCAATATTGTACCACTTCCTCACGTCGCCCGCTGTGTTACTCATGGCTTAAGAACACAAAATGTGCGCTCAAGAGGCAAGGAAGCAGAAGAACTATCGTACCGGGCATGTACACAGGCAACAAAACAACTAAAAGGCACAATGTGGCCAGCGTCACTAGCAGCATTGCTACAATTAGCAAATGCGTTTTTATTTGAAATTATTTTTAATGGTTTGTTAGTCGCGTGCCTACTTAACAGTGCTTTTTTGTAAAAACCGCATAACGAGGATTCACAAAAGATCAATAAAGATGAAATAAGAATACTTTCCCGAAAATCAAACAGCGCCCGCTGAGCCCCCTCGCTGCAACTGTTACAACCTTGTCACTGCCGTGTGACAGTGCCACAACTCCTTCTCCGTCGAACCCCCTAGGGGAGATTTACGTTGGCGGTGTTCAACAAAGTTTGGAGGTGACCGTGTGACAGGGGTATTAGGGGCGAAGCTCCTTAAAGCGGCACCCGTTCGTCCCTCGTCGTAGTGCGTAACAAGTCTTACGCTTTGACCTGCAAGGGGGTGCCGGTGGGAGATTTCTCCTGTGCGTTGTTGAACAATAAAAAATTCGAAGCGTGCGCGTTGACTAAAAGCCTAATTCTCCTGTCTCTCATTCCATTTACCAGCCATTGCCATGTACATTGAGCACTATCTGACAAGAAAAGGTTGCTACGTTATACTCGCTGGGCGTAACCTCCTTAGTTTTAGAAAGGTTTAGCGACCGTTGGGCCGCAGTGCCATGAATACAGTGATTTAGTATATACCCTGAACTCGAGGTGGTTAAAGGTGGGAAATAGGCACGAAGTGCAAGTCGTAAGAAAGTGTGCGTGTGCCACCTCTCGTTTAGTCCTTGGAATGCCCGCTGGATGGCGGTGCTTCTATATGCGGAATATAAGACGAAAAGATGCGAGATGGTGGTACTTGGAGTGTTGACTAGATGGACGAACGGACACAGAAAGATGCATGTACGGATGGTTGTACGGACGGATGGACGCATGGACGAACGCAGGGACGGACGCACGGATGGACGTGTGGACGCATGAACAGATGCACGCACGGACGGGCGGATGGACGTTCACACAGATGAACACATATATGATAAAAAGATGCGAGATGGTGGTACTATGAGTGTTGATCAGATGGACGAACGGACACAAAGACAGATGCATGGACGGACGCACGGATGGATGCACGGACGAATGGACGCATGGACGGACGCAGGGGCGGATGCATGGACGAACGCAGGGACGGACGCGCGGACGCACGAACAGACGTACGCACGGACGGGCGGACGGATGGACGGTGTTATGCCTGCGAGTCCGCAGCGAACGTCCATGCCTCGGAAAAAGGAAATTTGTGTCAAGGCCAGCACGCGAGCCCGCCTGACGCGATGAACAACTTAACGGCGTCATCACGCGACGGCGCCTTTCTGGCGCGCACGTGCAGTGAGTCACCTCACAAGCGAGCCCGTCGAGTAAACAACCGGCGCCTTCCTGTCTGGCGGGTCTGACGCAATGCGCGGCGACGTCACTCGTCCTTGGGTGCAGCCACCTGCAGCGCACCCTCTCCAGATTCGATGAGAAAGAAGGACGCGGCCCAGCGGCGACCCCATTGGAGGAGTCTGGCCTCACGACCAGCGGCGCTTCTGGTTGGACATTTTGTTATTCAAAGAATCCACCCGGGGCATATAAAAAAAGCCCTGCGGCGCGTCGCGAGTAGCAGACCTGTTGGAGAGCCGACATGTGTGTCAGAGAGGAGCGCTATGTGAGGAGTCCTATGTGAGAGCAGACATGTGTGTCAGAGAAGAGAGCTATGTGATAGAGAGTTGAGCTGTGTGTCAGAGAAGAGAGCTATGTGATAGAGAGTTGAGCTATGTGTTAGTAGACCCATTTGAGAGTAGAGCTATGTATTAGAGAGAAGAACTCGGCTCTTCGCGTCTCTGTCGGCCCCAGTGCCGAATTTGTAACGCCTCTGTATATATGCTGTACATAAGCCTTGTTTAACTCACCGTCGTCTCGTCCGCTCGTCTATCAGCTCTGCGCCGAAGCAGTCGCGAGCTGAGAAACCTACGCTACCAAACGGCTGGTGACCTTCCCGGCGGAGTTCGAAGCAGTGGCGCCTTCGGGACCGTGTTGGCGTCGCCGTGTTTCGAAACAGTGGTTGCAGCGGTGAGATTCGTGGCGCCCTTCGTAACGTCGTTGGAGGCGCGCTTCGCAACAACGGTCACACAGACGAACGCATGGATGGACGGAAGCAAGAACGAATGGACGGACGGATGCTTCGCCTCACTCTCCATCAATCACCCCGTGGATATGCTGCCATGTTTTTATGAGGAGAGGGGGGGGGGTCACGTTTATATAATGGCGGGACGCCTAGGGAGCCCTCTTATCAAATATAGTTGCAGTTGGGGTGGTATAGTTCCATAATTGGTCTGCGCATCAGCTTTTCCGCAATTCATGGTTGCTAGCGGCGTTTGGGAAACAGATGCGCAACTCTGTTACCTACACATCTATACATGTAACGTCACGTAAAACTACAAAGGACGACACAGACCGAGTGTGAAGAGCGTTGACTTCCAACAGTTTATTCCGCTGACGATACCAGGTATAAATACATACGAAAGGCCAGTGGATAAGGCAAAGTAACAAAACCAAGGAAAAAAGAAGTGATCAGCAAGAAATGCACTGGGTGATACCGACAAGTCTTGATTGATATGTAGGGTTTAACGTCCCAAAACCACCATGTGATTATGAGAGACGCCGTAGTGGAGGGCTCCGGAAATTACGGCCACCTGGGGTTCTTTAACCCGAGAAGTCTTATTCAGCAAGTTTCTAAAAAAAAAAAAAAAAAACTTAGCTCATTCTTGACTGTCAATACAAGCGATGGGATGCTGACACGTCCCTCTCCCGCACGAGCAATCTCTACCGCCTCAACTATTTGCCTGACGCACTGTCTTTGCCGCGATTACGAAGCCACTTTTTTCGAACTTAGTTTTACCTGCTGTCATAAGTGTTCAATTGAACCAACTCCCAGCAAGCAATCATGCTGTTACCTAAAGGTAGCATATACAGTAACTATATTGAGAACGCATTTGTGTCGCACCTCATGAGCTAAAATAAGGTGTTACTGGCCCACGCTGTCGCTGTACGAAACATGCTGCTTCGATACACGAGCTTCTATGCGGCACGTGCAATATGGCCGGACGTGAAAGACAGCATCCGAGTCACCGATGGCTAAAGTAACTGCACTTTCAATCTCATGGCTCGTTCTTCTGCCAGCCATGAGATGGCGCGACGTGCACTATTGACGCACTATGTTCACACTTTTGCTGACTGACTGGCTCGCATGTTTAGCCTCTAACCTCTTTTTACTACGTTCATTGCTATTCTACCACCTTTTTTTTTTTGATACTTTAAGTACTTTTGTCACAAATTCGCGCGAGTTTTTCTTGCTTCATTTTTCATCGAATTTCCTTCCTGCCTTCAAAACGACGACGCCTCGAGTATTCTGGATTTCGTACATAGGGGCATATTCAAAAGACGTTTGATATAATGACCTATGTGCTGGAGCTTATTTTGCAGTCTCTGAAAGTGTTTTAGGATGTCACCAGTGTCTCTAACTGTGTCCATGCTTGATGGCAGGGTGTTCTGTTCTTCTCCGGCGCGGATTAAAAAAAAAAGAAAGAAACATACTTGGCAGATGGACTACGTCCACTCAACCCTTTGTTTTGCAGATATTCAAAGCGTCGAGCGAAAATAGGCAGGGAACAAGAAACTCTCCGGGCGAACAATCGTCCCGTCCCGAAAGGAGCAGTCGGTGCCACGCGCGCCTCTCGTTTGCGAGGGCAGCTTGCTGGTGCCGAGCGGCGCGCTCCACGTTCTCGCGCAATATGGCCGTCTCCTGGCGTAAGACCGATTCAACGAGCGTGCTGTACCACCCGCATCACTCTAGACCTCGAGAGTGATCGAGCAATTAATTATCATCGCCTAGAATCTCATAGAGCCGATTGGCGCCGCTGCGCGCCAATCAGAGCGCACGCAGGGCGGAGCTTCATCGTGGACGACTCTCTCTCCCTCGCGTCATTCCTTCCCCAGGGCGAGGGTGCAGCGGCCGTCTCTTGCAACCGATGCAGTTGCCTCCGATGAAGTTAGGCGATCGTCCGTGCCACTCCGTAGCAGGACTGACGCATGCGATTCGCTTGCTTTGGATTGAAAACGTGCGCGAACGTGTGCCGCCCCGTTCATCGACTTGACTGACCGACAGGGGACGTCGGCTGTGCTCCTTCCGCTGTGTTGTCCACCGGCGTGTTCGATATCGGCCAGTGTGTGCTGCTTTGGCAGCGGCGACATTGATACGTGTGCCTTGATCTCAGCGCGTCCAGGGGGGTGACTTGTTGTTCCGTAACCAGCGCTGCATTGGTTGTCGCTGGTCATTCTTCTTGATCCGCAACCCACCAGCAGCCAAAATTCGTGTCAAAAACCGCATCCCGCTTCCAGCCTTCCGGATGGAACACGAATCGGACGACATGGACGGAAGCGTGGTGAGTACGGCTTGTTTTGATGCCTGATCCACATTAGCTCGAATCATCGCTGTCTGTAACGCGAGGAGTTGCGCGAACAAACACAGGTGACATCGGTTCACTATTCCACTGCTTGCTCTGGCGTTTGTGTGTCGGATTACATTGACAATTACCAGTATGGGACACCTACGTTTAATCCTGTCTCACAAGCTTTTCTTTCTCCCGCGGCGCTAAACATCGTTCTCGCTGAAAAGTGACACTGCAAGTAGCTGAAGCACAGACGAGTAACGGGGTAGACGCGTTAGCCCTTTTGTCGGATAGCGAGGCGCGTTGACGATATAATAATCGTCGTCATCCAGAGTGGACTTGATCGTGTTTTCTCTGCTGACGCTTCCAGAGCCTAACGACGGTGCCTTATCGTATCGTGTCATCTTTCCATGGGCAGTCGTCCTATTTAATCGCTTCGCACATAGTTGTCATTTCCTCAAACATCTGATTATCCGCACATATGTGATCCATCTGCGTTTGGTTTGCGTCGTCATTTGTGGGGTAAATAATCTAGGAACGTTTCCTGAATTTACTTGCTTCGATTTTTTTTTTTTAAATAAAAGTACGCACCTTTTTCTCTTTTGTGAATCGATCAGCAGATGACCACGTGTGCCTTTCGATGGTCAATAAACGGGTCAGTTGATTTCGCCTAGGTATTTCGGCCTCCGCAGTTTCCAACAAAAATGCAAGGGGTTAATCATACATTTCCGCCAACATCGTGCGCCACTCCTGCATTTTTCAGCCATTTTGCATGAGTTCAAAGCGTGATGAAAGCAACGTCTATAGAAAACGTTCTCGTCAGTACAGTGTTGCTATCGCGATATGATCAGCCCCGACGCTATCGGTCAAGCTGTGGGCGATATGTGTACACAATGAAGCACCTCTCGTGTCTTTTTTATTCCGGCAATCGGTGCTTTCCTTTTTGTTTCACTTATCGCACATTAACGGTGTTATTGTTTTACACGGGGCCTAGGAAAAAGTCTGGTGTGATCGAAAGATAGGCAGGGTACGAATCAAATAATAATTTATGTTGTTTACCGTCTTGATGAAATTCAGGCACACTTCCGTAGGCCCCGCGGTTTAATTGGGCAATCTCGATTTTTTTTAATATATAACCTAATCCACGAAAGCTTTCGCATTTCATTTAAATTGAAATGTGACTGCGCTGCCGAAAATTCGACTATTCGAGTCGTATGTTCAATTGTTCGAATTCATCGCTTAGTAAACTCAGGCTCACGTTCTGATTAATACGTAATTTGTGCAGTGAAATCTTATCACGAAGAGCCAATCGCTAATACGGAGATGTGACAGACATCAAGTCCAAATCGTATGTGTTAAATACGCACACATGGAATTTTGTAATCCCGGCACGCACTCTGACCAAATTATACATCTTTTACATAGTACATGAAGGAATGCCTTGAACGGATTGTTCTGTCAAACGTTGGACGGAAGTAGATTGATTGATTTGTGGGGTTTAACGTCCCAAAACCACCATACGATTATGAGAAGAGACGCCGTAGTGGAGGGCTCCGGAAATTTCGACCACCTGGGGTTCTTTAACGTGCACCCAAATCTGAGCACACGGGCCTACAACAATTCCACCTCCATCGGAAATGCAGCCGCCGCAGCCGGGATTCGATCCCGCGACCTGCGGGTCAGCAGGGTACCTTAGCCACTAGACCACCGCGGCGGGGCGATGGAAGTAGATTGGTAGCACAGTTATGAACCATAGATACGTCAGTGCCCCTGGTTGGCAATACTGCAATGTCCTCGTTATTTTTTAAAAATTATATGTACTTCTCTCTGTTGCTCGGAGGAATTTTATCTTTAAGGTTTAGAATTCTTGATGTTAATTGCGTTGCGTTACAGAATACCACCATGGTGACATAAGTACTTCGATTGAAGGCAGCAATAAAGATAATGTAGATGCGATTGCCATCGCAAAATTTTCCGTAACTTTTGCGGCAGAGTTCGCGTACAATCTGCCGAGAACACAGGAAAACGACAGTGGGGTTCGTGGACATTCTGCAGTGGAGTTATCGAGAAGCAACTAGAACACGCAGCCTAGCGAGCAGAAGCAGCATCATTGGGACCACTGCAGATGCGATAGATTTCCGGAATTCGCAGGTGCAACAGCAGTTTGAGGCTGTCGAAACAATCAAACGGAGATGGGAACACTGGTGGTGTGCCAGATATCGGCAGGATAGTACACGTCCGGGCTAGGAATTTTTACGGGTGAGGGGGTTTGGATACTCCCTTAACCCGAAGTGGAAGCCGGTCAGGTAGATGTGGTCGAATGGCATTCTGTAGACTACATGCCATAACAAAAGAAAAAAAAGAAACAGGGAGGGGGGTACGGGGCCCGGTGTCTATAATAGGAAAGGGGGGCTATGACGAACCTTCCCGCCCCCCTTTGAAAGAGAAACCTGCGTCCACTGCCACTACTGCATGAGGGAGCAACTTCCCGGATTGTTGTAAGAGTACAAAGGCTGAGGTTGTTGTATGGGTAGTTAAAATTCCAAAAGATGACGCACGTCGCGGAGGGGGATTTGGACTATACCCCAGTGAATCGTTCTATGAACGTGGACACTAGCAGCCGTCCTCGGAAACTTGTGTCTCATTTTCTTGGAATTCCTGGCAGCCGATGCCGCAGTGTTTCGGCACATCGAACATGAGCCACTATGAAGCCATGAAAATCGACAGCATATGATTAAGATCTCTCATTCACGTATAACTTTTTTTTTTTCATGCGATTAGACACGATGGTGTGAAAGGCAGGCAGAGGTACGTGGATGAAGATATGTGTCATTACTTTATTTCCCCGTTCTCCCCACTAAGATTGAACGTATTGGCTGTCATTACCTTGTACAACTGTCAAACTCGCAGAATGAATGAGTGGATGCGAATTAGGGGAGGGGGGGGGGGGGGTTCGAACACGTTTGAAGTTTGTTTTGTGCGTTGCGTACACTTACCGCAGACTAAAAGGTGCACGACTTGGGCTCAGCCAGATTTTCTTTCTTTTTTAAGGGGGAAGGGGCGGGCAAGGGTTGAGCCTTCCAAACAAATAACTACCTAACTACTGGTGCATGGATGCATACAAAGTAAGAACGATAGCGAAAGAGTCCGAAGTTGATCAGCCTTGCTTACAGACTTGGAAAGTACAAAAAAGAGAGAGAGACCACCAGGAACACGAATATGGCTTAATTACAAGCCCCCCATTTCTCTCGCCCACTGACGTAATGCATCTGTGTGAATAGCTCGAAGCGCCTACGTAACGCAAAGTTTGTAGCTCACGTTTGACTGTTACAGCCAATCTATCTATCACGCTGTTAGCCTAACTAACGATTCGGAGCCGCGTCCTAAGGTAAATGGTGAAGCTGCAACAATGGCCCGTGTGGAGAAACCTTCACCGCTTGGAACACTGGCGAGCACAAGGCGAGGGTGCAAGAGCGAGATGAGAAGGCCACAACACGCACGTGCGCATTTCTCCTTGCTCGAAAAGCTAGTTCGAACCGTGTTTCAACCGACTGAAGCTTTGTGCGTTGAAGTGCAGCAAACAAAACTAAAATCGAATGTGTCGGGAATGCTTTTGACGAGTGCTGTTGCATTCACGGGCGTTCGCACGGGGATGCGAAGGGGCCCTTGTAGCCCCTCTTCCCACCCAAGCTGCAGCATCGCTCCCTTTCCCCAGACTTGATGAAACACGTGTTTGACACACACGGCCGCCGCGATTGCATTTCGATGAAGGTGAAATGCCAGGAGCCCGTGCGCTTAGATTTAAGTGCGCGTTATATACACTAAGGTAATTGAAATTTCTGCGGCTATCCACTACGGCGTCTCTTCTAATCATATGTTGCTTTTGGGACGTAAAGCCCCGACTATTATTTTGCTATTCTGGGTGACAGAAAGTGTACATGTTACCATGGCAATGTCGTATAGACTATAGCGGGAATTTCAAGTGCCTATAGAAATTACGAAAATAAAAATCGATGTATCGTGCAGCATGTTTGAGCAGCTCCTTGAATCCTTGTATAAATCGGCAGGTAGGGTCACGTGATGGCCTTTTTTTGCGCAAGACAGTTTTTTTTTTTTTTGGCGGGAATCGTGACTCTTTTTGGAGTCCGCAGACAGCGGTTCGCGCATTTGTGGAGCACGTCGCCGGCGAGGCCGCGTTGTTTGCGACGACCAAGCTCTTGATATCGGACGAGGGCATTTGACATCGGGCTATTTTCGCTCTTTGCAGCTTTTCCCTCGTTCTGTTCGTTTTTTCGCTCCCTGCGCACGCTATCTGCGCAGGTGCGTCTGAGGGACGAAAGAGTTCACGAAGTGTTTTTCTGCCGCACCCGCATCGTGGGGGGAGAGGGGCTGGCCTCTTCCGCTGTCAGCATGCTACCGCTGTAGTGAAAAAACCGTGAGCAACTCGCAGCAGCCATTGTCACCGCTCGTATTCTTGATTGAATTATTTGAAGTGCGCACGTGGTCCCAGGGCGATTCCTGTCCCAGCCGACTCGCTTTTGTGTCCTCAGCGTTTCAAAGGTCGCAGATGTGGTTCCTGACTTTTTGTCGAGTTATCTTTTCGTTCGCTTTTCTTTCTTCACATTACAATTACTAGTAATAATAGGCCGTATACATTCCTTTGCAACATTGTCAGCTAAATCTCAAGAATGTTTCGTCTAAAAAGCGCTTAATATTTCCGCTTCCTTCCTTCACTCTGCGGTGTATCACACCTGCAGAAGAGCCGAATCTCGTGTGCCTTTATTGAACTCTCGCAGTTGGGAGAGAACTGGCAGGCACCCAGCGTTACTAAGAATTGTACTCAGTACATCCCGCGTCGACCACAACTGTGGTCATCGGCAGGTGCAAGAAGGGGCAGTAACCTAAGTGTAGGGGGTGTGCAAAATCTGCCCCGTACTTTGACTTAATAGGGGGGCCTACGAAAAACCTTGCTCCCCCCCCTTCCTCCTCCTCCC